TCTGCGCCGCTAGCGGAGGCGTGCTCACGCTAACGCGGCGGCTCGTGGAGACTGGAGCTGGCATTTCGTCGAGCTGACGCTCGGTGGATGGAGGAGGGGGTCTGGGGCTGGCGGCATCCGGGGCTCGGCCCGGGCTTGCTGAAGGCTTTTTGCTGCAGCCTAACGGCCGGAAGCCCATCTTCGAAGGAGTGGTGGTTAGCTCGGGCCGTGAGTACGGAATGCTGCGGCCCTGGCTCGCTTTATCCGCGGCCTTGGATGGAGGAGTAGAGCTTGGAGGCGCCCCTGTTTGGAGGGAAGTATAGAGGGCGAGGAGATCCGCCTTGACCGACCGTCGTGGGACATTGACGCCGGAGCTAATAAGCGCCTGGCGTAGTCCGGTCACGGTCCATTTCTCCGCAGCTGGGGCGGAGGAGAGGGCTGAAGCGTAGGAGGACGCTGGAGAAGGTGGCTGACGCCTGGAAGGCGAAGGTGATGGCATGCCTCGGTGTCTGGAGGTATGAGCGACGGCGGCACAGGAAGGCCGGCGGCCCCGTGTTGCAGCCGCGGGCTCAATTATGGTGTCCTGCGGAGCGCTGGTGCGCTGAACGGCGACTGGAGAAGCCGGAGGACCCGTGGTGTCGAACGCGTTGTCGTCTGGAAAAAGTTTGATCTCTGACATGTTTGCGGCGATTGGATGTGCCAATGCTGAAAGACTAGAGATAATGGAGGTAAGGCTGCTTTGACTATTTATAGAGGTTCTCTCTTGTGCTGATTGGATAGATGGTGTAATTACTGATGATGAACTGGCCGTGTTAATTATCTGCGCGTGCTCCTCCCGAAACTTGTTAATAAAACATCACATAGTGAATGGCACAACCAGAAGTTATTGATAACCACACAAATTATCATTTTGCATGAACTGTATTGAATTAACAAATATAACACAATTGTTATCACAAGAACATCAATAAAGTGTAGTGCACAATCAGTGTATGTGTCTCCTTCCTTTTTTCTTAAAGTACCTCAGTCCAGTCTTTCAAATGACCAAAAAAATTGTTTCCTTTAGTGGAAATCAGTTCTGTCTTTTGGTTCCAAAAAGCAAGGTGAAGCAAAATAAAAATAAAATAATTCAACAAGAAAAATGTTCTATCCAATCCCAATCTGGAATTTAGGATAAAGGGGAAAAACTGAATTCAAGGGTCCACTGAGATCCTACGACACAGTGGAAATCAGTTCTGTCTTTTGGTTCCAAAAAGCAAGGTGAAGCAAAATAAAAATAAAATAATTCAACAAGAAAAATGTTCTATCCAATCCCAATCTGGAATTTAGGATAAAGGGGAAAAACTGAATTCAAGGGTCCACTGAGATCCTACGACACAGTGATATCACATGAATCATCCAGCAGCAATCGATGACTACATGGATCCAACGATCAAGGGTGGTTGGCTCGCCATCTTCCCTCCGGAAGAATTCAAATGCATACAAAAAACCTGGCCTGCAATAAAACAGGCACATCCATATCATATTACTCAATCAACTCACAATCAATTTATATGGACATTAATGTACATTAAACTCTTTTTTTAAACATTATTAATGAATTTAAATCATAAATTCAATTCCTTAAACATCCACAATCATGTGCTTAATTCACTCAACATACATATTTGAGATAAAGCTCAAAGTGAATTTGCGTCAATGACGTGACTTCACTCTAACTAATTAATAATATTCAACATAGCTTTTAACTATGCATACAACTCTTACATCAAGTCGATCATATTCACGTTTCTCAAATCACAAAATCACATTACGTGTCCTCAACCATGCATTAAAATGGCTGCTCAACATTACAGCATTCGTTTGTACACATCGAGGTGATACTTATTTCAAAACTCACAGAAATAATTTGATCATAACATGAAAAACATTAGAGACAAAATACAACAATATGAATCTCCTCTTTTAACTATTTAGGAGTTAATGTTAGATCGTTTAAACTCTTTAAGCTTGTTCACACTCACCGAGATTCAAGTTCACACCTGACAAAATACAGCTTCAGTCCAATGGTTCAAGTGTTCATGACGACCTCAGTCATCTTTTTAGAGTGATTATCAGTTTGCAATATATGTAAATACAATGCATTTATAGAGAAATCAATTCAAACTTCCCTGCATCTGCACGACAGATCATTTCATCACTCTCTGCCAATACTCGCTCGCATCGCCCCAGCAAAAGGGCTGAACTTCTTGTTTTTTCCACCAATAGCAAATTTCCATCTGCTAACACACTCTAGTTACCCGGCAGATTTCCTGATATCAGGTTTCACAGACCAAGGGGTGTGGGTATACCGTTCCCCATAGCGACCCCTAGAGGTCACAGTTCGAAGTTCCCTTGAAAGGGAGCGTCTCAGGTTACTTATGTAACCATGGTTCCCTGAGTAGGGAACAAGACACTGCGTCCTCTAGGTTTCCTACCATGCTTTGGACACAAGCTTCAGACGAATAAGTGAATGACGTGTTCTCCCGCCGCTTATTTATACTATAGTCGCACCGGTAGTGACGTCATGGGCTGTCGTCGGCCAACATCTTGTTGGTGTTTTTTTGAATGTATGCTTCAGACACGGGTCACGACGAGTCGTTCCCCATAGTGACCCCTAGAGGACGCAGTGTCTCATTCCCTACTCAGGGAACCATGGTCACATAAGTTACCTGAGATGTTTTCTTTTAAGATTGATAGGCACTTAGGTACACTATATATAGACCACATTTTTAACACTAGAACCGCCACGGGGTAAATTTTACCCGTGGCTGTTTTTCATATGTACATAAAAGATTTAAAATAAAACATTCAAGTCTCCCAGTCATGGACTTTTACTAAAATTATGTAATTTACAATCCAATGTTGTTAAAAATTATTTAGATAAAACCAGATCAAAAAACTGGGCATTTATACGTTAGGCTACTGACCTTTATGGATTAGTGTAACCTGCATTAAAAAAATCTTGAACATAAAACAACAGGATACAAATATTGTTGATGACTAGACATAATCATTTCATGACACTTCTTTGTGAAGACAGTGGCATAATACAGTGAAATAATATGTTCTTTAGCCATTTTTATAAATGACCCCGTTATAGCCAACCAAAGGACAAAATTCAAAATTGTTTTGATAATTATTGATCTGGAGACTCCAGAGAATATTACTGCAGTGGTTTGATCGAGACTGAGCAAAAAAACCTAGGACTAGTTTGCAAAAGTAGGTTTTTAACATAATTGAAAATATTTATTGAACGATTTGATTGACAGCAATGATTCTGGAGGCAAAGTTGCTCATTATGAGGAGATCTATAAAATTATATGCATATTGTGTGGATGTGTGAAACACCACGTGATTACAGAGCCATAAAACTCGATAGCGCCAACTAGTGGCCGATTTCTTTCAAAATTCTTACAGTCCTCTGGGGCCATGAGTCAAACATGGCCACCGAGTTTCGTTCCGATCGACCTCCGTTAACCTTGTCAAATACATGCTTAAATTAGTTTGGCCAATGGCGGCCATGTTTTCTTTGATACGCGAATGTCCTCATAGACACTTTTGCCAGTTTGGACAAAGACACTTCATACCAATTTTCAAGTTGATTGGACTAACGGTTGCGCAGTTATTGTTGTTTTTATGTTTTTTTCCGTCACCAAGCGGCAATTTTGCTGCACATTTTTTTTTATTTGACAAAAGATTGAGCTCATACACATGTGTACCGAGATTGGTGAAGATATATCATTCCGTTCAAGAGTTATACCACAATTAGCTATTGGCTAACGTTAGCATAGAAGGTTTTTTGCGCGCTGCTGCGCACGAAAATTGAAATGTCAACTTTTTTGATAATTATTGATATTCAGTGTCAATAGAATATTTGAGAAGTGGTTCGGTTCAGATCGGGTGAAAAACCTAGGACTAGTTCGCAAAAGTAGGTTTAGGACATAACTCAATTTTGCGGAAAAAACGTGCGTTGTAGAGCAAATCTGTCTAACTGTCTTTTGTTCGTGTTGACCCAAGGATTGCAACGATGTAACATTTTTGAATCTATGACATACGGTGTACGAGCTAGGGCCAAAAATGTCTGAGATTTTTTTTTTTAACTGTAGCGCCCCCTTTGGGACGATTGGGGCGAGTCTTTGGATCTGAGTAGCGAGCAATACTACTACGATCTGACCAAGTTTCAGCTTTCTTGGCCTTACGGTTTGGGCTGCACGATCAGTTTTACTGGAGAGGAATAATAATTAAAAAAATAAATAAATAAATCCTTACAATTACAATAGAGTTTCAGCAATACGTGCTTGAACCCCTAATAATAATAATAATTATAAATAAGTGGCTTTGTAGACATCACAATAATAAATAACTATACTATATGGATAAACCTTGATATGAATTGTGGACACATAAGCAGTCCATCGTGTATGATAAATTATTTGGGTTGACTGACATTCCTGAATATCTTTCTAGGTTAATACACTACACTTTATGAATGAGAGTACAATCCTTCATCAGGGAAATGTGTTCTCTGCAATCTCGCTTTCATTGTCTGAGTCTCAGTTTTTATTAAACAATCTCTTACAAGCTTCAGAGTTAAACTTGATGAGATAACATCACCATACCAATTAAGAATAAATTAAATTGTATGCATAGTCATAAGCTGCAGTAACCTGGGATTTATCCGGGAGTGAAATTCTGTAAAGCAATATTACACTGTTAAAATACCATTGGAGATTTCTTTATAGCTCCCAGGCATTAACTGGCAGCCAAGAATTTATCAGCTTGACGTGTATAGCACATCACATGGATACTTTAAATTCAGCATCAATGAGTTATTAGTGTGATGAAGACAATTTTTCTTCTGATTCTAGGGCATATATATATATATATCTTAGAATTAACTGTAGCAGAATCAAGACTACAATTATTTGATCTGTCTGTCCACCGAGCAGACAATATAATCATTTATCAATTCAAGGAAAGATTATTTCCCTGGCCAAGAAAGAATAACTTTCCTTCATACAGTACTAGCATTAACTTAGCATGTAGCAAGGGATCAACCTTCAGTGACTCCGAATTGTGAGCAGCACACAGAGACAATCAACTGTGAATATAAGGGATTTAATAAATGAAACTACGGCTAACATTCAACAAGACTAAGCAAAACACATATATACAGAATGAAGAAAAGTAAGGAAGAGAGAGAGAAGAGCAAAAGAATGGCAGTATTTCACATCAATTAACCACAACCTAATGAGAATCATCAGAGAATCAAAAATCACCTTATAAGGGGCTCAAACTTAAACACGCATTTAAATGGTTCTAAACGATTACTTGTATTGGCTTCGTTGCTGAACAAGAGTCCTGATGCGGTAGACAACGGAGGTCTTTGATGAGTTCGTTAGGAGTGAGCTGGAAGTTTACTTCGAAAAATGGCAGTATTCTGCCAGAAAGTCAGACTCAAGAGGTGTGAGTCTTGCAGAGTGTCTGTCTCAAAAAGTTTGAGCAATGATTGGTTTGGGTTAGGGACTTTTAATGGTTTCCCAGTCACACCCATCTTTTGGTGGAATGACCAATGTAGAGGTGTGAATTTTGAGCGGGAAAAATTATCTTTGTTTTCTTTGTCGGCCCATTTGCATG